TAGATCTAGGTCTGGTTTATAGACTCAGAGTTAGATCTAGGTCTAGTTTATAGACTCAGGGTTAGATCTAGTTTATAGACTCAGGGTTAGATCTAGTTTATAGACTCAGGGTTAGATCTAGGTCTAGTTTATAGAATCAGAGTTAGATCTAGGTCTGGTTAATAGACTCAGGGTTATATCTAGGTCTAGTTTATAGACTCAGGGTTAGATCTAGGTCTGGTTTATAGACTCAGGGTTAGATCTAGGTCTAGTTTATAGACTCAGGGTTAGATCTAGGTCTAGTTTATAGACTCAGAGTTAGATCTAGGTCGAGTTTATAGACTCAGAGTTAGATCTAGGTCTAGTTTATAGACTCAGAGTTAGATCTAGGTCTAGTTTATAGACTCAGGGTTAGATCTAGGTCTAGTTTATAGACTCAGGGTTAGATCTAGGTCTAGTTTATAGACTCAGGGTTAGATCTAGGTCTAGTTTATAGACTCAGGGTTAGATCTAGGTCTAGTTTATAGACTCAGGGTTAGATCTAGGTCTAGTTTATAGACTCAGAGTTAGATCTAGGTCTGGTTTATGGACTCGGGGTTAGATCTAGATCTAGTTTATAGACTCAGGGTTACATCTGGGTCTAGTTTATAGACTCAGGGTTAGATCTAGTTTATAGACTCAGGGTTAGATCTAGGTCTAGTTTATAGACTCAGGGTTAGATCTAGGTCTAGTTTGTAGACTCAGGGTTAGATCTAGTTTATAGACTCAGGGTTAGATCTAGGTCTAGTTTATAGACTCAGGGTTAGATCTAGGTCTAGTTTATAGACTCAGGGTTAGATCTAGGTCTAGTTTATAGACTCAGGGTTAGATCTAGGTCTAGTTTATAGACTCAGGGTTAGATCTAGTTTATAGACTCAGGGTTAGATCTAGGTCTGGTTTATAGACTCAGGGTTAGATCTAGGTCTAGTTTATAGACTCAGGGTTAGATCTAGGTCTGGTTTATAGACTCAGAGTTAGATCTAGTTTATAGACTCAGAGTTAGATCTAGATCTGGTTTATAGACTCAGAGTTAGATCTAGTTTATAGGCTCAGGGTTAGATCTAGGTCTAGTTTATAGACTCAGAGATAGATCTAGGTCTAGTTTATAGACTCAGGGTTAGATCTAGGCCTAGTTTATAGACTCATAGTTAGATCTAGGTCTAGTTTATAGACTCAGGGTTAGATCTAGGTCTAGTTTATAGACTCAGGGTTAGATCTAGGTCTGGTTTATAGACTCAGAGTTAGATCTAGTTTATAGACTCAGGGTTAGATCTAGATCTAGTTTATAGACTCAGAGTTAGATCTAGGTCTGGTTTATAGACTCAGAGTTAGATCTAGTTTATAGACTCAGAGTTAGATCTAGGTCTGGTTTATAGACTCAGAGTTAGATCTAGTTTATAGGCTCAGGGTTAGATCTAGTTTATAGACTCAGAGTTAGATCTAGGTCTAGTTTATAGACATAGAGTTAGATCTAGTTTAAAGACTCAGGGTTAGATCTAGGTCTGGTTTATAGACTCAGGGTTAGATATAGGTCTGGTTTATAGACTCAGGGTTAGATCTAGGTCTAGTTTATAGACTCAGGGTTAGATCTAGGTCTAGTTTATAGACTCAGGGTTAGATCTAGGTCTAGTTTATAGACTCAGAGTTAGATCTAGTTTATAGACTCAGAGTTAGATCTAGTTTATAGACTCAGAGTTAGATCTAGGTCTGGTTTATAGACTCAGAGTTAGATCTAGGTCTGGTTTATAGACTCAGAGTTAGATCTAGTTTATAGACTCAGGGTTAGATCTAGGTCTGGTTTATAGACTCAGAGTTAGATCTAGTTTATAGACTCAGGGTTAGATCTAGGTCAGAGGCGAGAGATCGTGTGAAGAACGAGGGCTAGGTAAGGCGTCAGCGTTGTAAGTGCTGCCTATCAGCGTAGGTTTACATGGTGAGGGTCGGTTAGAGTCAGGATTACGGTCAGGGTCATCAGGGTTAAGGGTCAGGGGCTGTGGAGTGTGGGCAGAGGAGAGCCCCCCCCCCTAACTCCCCCCCGCCCCTCCCCCCAACCCTCCCCCCAGCTCACGTGCTGCGCGAGGCACCTTTGAAACAACTTCAAGAGGCAGAGCCCACGTGGCGGTCACGAATGGTATTATTAGAGAGTGCACGTGTGTGTGTGTGTCTGTGTGTATGTGTCTGTGTGTGTCTGTGTGTGTGTCTGTGTGTGTCTGTGTGTGTGTCTGTGTGTGTCTGTGTGTGTGTCTGTGTGTGTGTGTCTGTGTGTGTCTGTGTGTGTCTCTGTGTGTCTGTGTGTGTGTCTGTTAAGGCTATACGGGGGGATCTTTGTTATTTTTGTTTGTGTCTGTGTGTGTGTCTGTGTGTGTGTGTGCGTCTGTGTGTAGCGGTTAGCGCGCTGCGCTATGAACCTGGCGACCCGAGTTCGATTCCCGCTCACGGCCAACACCAGTGACGATTATCTGAACCGGTCCCGGGCCTCCCCTAGGTTGACTCAGCCTCAAATGAGTACCTGGTGCGGTGTGTAATCATTGCCACTAGGGAGACAAAGGCGGTCGGGCGTGGTGCTGGCCACCCACCCCCTCGTGTACCGTTCCGGCCTTCATAGGTGCTCGCTAACAGTACTTGCCCCTACAGTCTGTTAAGGCTATACGGGGGATCTTTGTCTTTGTCTTTGTGTCTGGACCCCCCTAATGGAACATCTTCGCCGGTTAGAAACATTTAGGCTGGCCTGCCTACGACCCATCCTGGGTTTAACCAGACTGGATTGTGTGAGGAGCTCACAAATCCTTGAAAGATCTGGGCAAGGTCCCATCGGTGAGCTCCTCCGGCGGGCAAGGCTGCGATGGCTGGGTCATGTAGCCCGCATGCCCAGCCACCGCATGCCGAAACAGCTTTTGTTCGGCCGGATCGAGGGGGCTAAGCGGGCGCGGCACGGGCTAGAGAAGAGATGGAGTGATGTGGTACAAGAGGACGTGGAGCTGAGTGGACTTGCCGATGACCGGTACCAGCGGTGTCAAGATCGGCCTCTGTGGAGGAGGCTCGTGAAGGACGCTACTGGGCAGTTGGAGGTAGTCGCCCTCCAACAACAACGGAGGGCGGAGGAGCGACGCTCACAACAACGAGCGGAGCGCCGGGTGGCTAAAGCACAGCAGGTTGGCACAGTAGGGGGCACAGGTGGTGCATCAGCCAGTCATCTCAGTCAGTCGACCCGTGGCACCTACTGGGTCTGCCCCGTGACCTCCTGCCAGCGGGCGTTCGACACTACACGTGGCCTCAAGGTGCACATGGCCTGGCACAAGCGTCGTGGTGACGTCACCCCCACTTAGTGGCGAATGGCGGTTGTTGTTGTTGTGTCTGTGTGTGTGTCTGTGTGTCTCTGTGTGTGTCTGTGTGTGTCTGTGTGTGTGTCTGTGTGTGTGGAGCGGTAGTGTAGCTGTTAGCGCTACGTTGCGCAACGAACCTTGCCACCCGGGTTCGATTCCCGTTCACGGCCAACACCGGTGACGATTATCTGAACCGGTCATGGGCCTCCCCTAGGTCTACTCGGCCTCAAATGAGTACCTGGTGCGGCGCGTTAACGCACGAGGCGACGCGAGCGTCTGGCCGTGGTGGTGCTCCTAACCAAACCCCTCGTCGAGCCTTAATAGGTGCTCGCTAACAGCACTTGCCTCTACAGTCTGTTAAGGCTACACAGGGAATCTTTGTCTTGTGTACGTGTGGTTACTCGCTCACAAGAGCACTCGCCCCCAACTCCCTGTGCAAGCTACGGAGGGGGAACTTTGTATAAATCAACACCACCACCACCATCATCATCATCCCTGTCATCACTACTATCTTGTTAACCATCATCACCATCATTAACCACGCTGTGATCATCATCACCATCAGCAGCACCGTGATCACCACCACCACCGTGATGACCAGCAAAGACAAAGATCCCCCGTATAGCCTGTAACGGACTGTTGGGGCAAGTGCTGTTAGCGAGTAGCACCGATGAAGGCCGACACGGTAGCACACGAGTGGGTGGGTTGGTCAGCAACGCGCCCGACCGCCTTTGTCTCCCTAGTGGCGATGTTTTTACGCACCGCACCACCATCATCACCATCACCACCACCACAAATCACCATCGCCTCGGCACGTGACCTGCCTGGATATTGTGTCACGTGTTACGTAACCCGTGACCTGCCACTGATGTGGGACGGTCACTCGGACTCGCACACACATTACACTTCACGATAATGATGCTGATGATGCTGATGATGATGTTGATGCTGATGATGGTGAAGATTATTGATGTGCCTGTTGCTGATAATGGATTTACTACTGCTGGAGCTGATGATGCTGATGATGTTGATGCTGATGATGTTGAAGATGATTGATTGGCCTGTTGCTGTTGATGGTTTTACCACTGCTGAAGCTGATGCTGCTGCTGCTAATGATGATGCTGATGATGTTGCTGATGATGGTGATGCTGATGATGGTGAAGATGCTGCTGGTGATGCTGCTGATGATGTTGCTGATGATGTTGCTGCTGCTGATGATGCTGATGATGGTGAGGATGATTGATGTGCCTGTTGCTGTTAATGGTGTCTCCTACTGTTGGTGCTGATTGAATAATGCACCTGATGCTGATGTGAATGTTGCTGCTGCTGATGATGTTGCTGACAATGCTGTTGCTGATGATGATGCTGCTGATGCGAATGTCGCTGCTGCTGATAACCGTGGTGTGTATGTTGCCCCTTCCTCCTGCTGATGCTGCTGCTGACAATGTGGATATTGCTGTTGATGGTGATGTTGCTGATGATGATGGTATTTCTCATGTTGCTGCTTCTGCTGCTGATCATGGCGGTGGCGATTGATACAACCGCTGCTGCTGATGATGATGATGATCCATTCCCCATGCCTGTACCCCCCTATCCCCTCTCTCATCCCCTCTCTCATCCCCTCTCTCACCCCCCGTGAACCCCGTGCAGAGTGCCTACCTCGCTTCTGTCCACACTTCTCTTCATTCTCATCCATGACTCCCGAACTCCGATCCGGTCCTGGTTTTATATATCGGTCCGATCCTCGTTTTATCTCAATTCGATTCTCGTTCTATCTCAATCCGATCCTGGTTCTGTCTCAATCCGATCCTGGTTCTATCTCAATTCGTTCCTGGTTCTATCTCAATCCGATCCTGGTTCTGTCTCAATCCGATCCTGGTTCTATCTCAATCCGATCCTGGTTCTATATCAATCCGATCCTGGTTCTATATCAATCCGATCCTGGTTCTATCTCAATCCGATCCTGGTTCTATCTCAATCCGATCCCAGATTCACATCCTCCTCATCCCGCGCCGCGTGCCGAGTGAGCACCGCGCGCTGGGCTCGCGGAGCAGCAGAGAGGGGGGAGGGGCGGGGCGAGGGGGGGATGGAGGGGGGGGGGCGAGTGATGAAGGGAGACCCCCCCCAGCCCCCCCCCCCCACAACTCCCCGCCCCCCCTTCTCCATCTTCTCAGATGTATAATGAAACACCGACATACATAGCGAGAGAGACATACACACAACAAAGACAAAGATCCCCCGTGTAGCCTGAACAGACTGTTGGGGCAAGTGCTGTTAGCGAGCACCTATTAAGGCTCAACGAGGGGTTTGGTTAGGAGCACCACCACGGCCAGACGCTCGCGTCGCCTCGTGCGTTAACGCGCCGCACCGGGTCCTCAGTTGAGGCTGAGCCGACCTAGGGGAGGCCCGGGACCGCTTGTGTTGCTGGCCCCGTGCGGGAATCGAACTTGGGTCTTCTTGGTTCCCGGTCCGTGACCGCAGCGTGCCGCTGACCGCTGCGCTGTTGACCCCCCACCCACCCACCCGCAACGCGCACACGCAAAAAAAAGCACACGCAGGCAAAGATCCCCCGTGTAGCCTCGACAGCCTCGCGTGGCAAGGGGGTGGGTTGGTCAGCTCCGCGCACGGCCGCCTTTGTCTCCCCAGTGGCGATGCTTGCACATCGCACCAGGTACTCATTCGAGGCCGAGTCGACCTAGGGGTGAGGACCAGGACCGGTTAAGATAATCGCCACGCTGGGTGCTGGTGGTGGCCGTGAGCGGGAATCGTTGTCGGGGTTGTGTTGCAGCGCGCTAACCACTGCGCCACCGCTCCTCCCTGCCATCACTCACGATGTGGAAATGGGACCGGGTCACGCATCGACCATGCAGCAGCAGCAGCACCCTCCTTTTAACAAGTCTTGAGACTCGACGTCTGTGCACCACGGTGGCTATGAGATGTTAACTACCTCGCCTGGTCTACAGGAGGTCGTGGGTTCCATCCCGACCCTGACGCCTGCTGCTGCTGTATATTTGGAGTTTGCGTGTCTCTCTCTCTCTGTGGTGAGATGTTAACTACCTCGCCTGGTATACAGGAGGTCGTGGGTTCCATCCCGACCCTGACGCCTGCTGCTGCTGTATATTTGGAGTTTGCGTGTCTCTCTCTCTGTGGTGAGATGTTAACTACCTCGCCTGGTATACAGGAGGTCGTGGGTTCCATCCCGACCCTGACGCCTGCTGCTGCTGCTGTATATTTGGAGTTTGCGTGTCTCTCTCTCTCCGTGGTGAGATGTTAACTACCTCGCCTGGTCTACAGGAGGTCGTGGGTTCCATCCCGACCCTGACGATGCCTGCTGTATATTTGGAGTTTGCGTGTCTCTCTCTCTGTGGTGAGATGTTAACTACCTCGCCTGGTATACAGGAGGTCGTGGGTTCGATCCCGACCCTGACGCCTGCTGCTGCTGTATATTTGGAGTTTGCGTGTCTCTCTCTCTGTGGTGAGATGTTAACTACCTCGCCTGGTATACAGGAGGTCGTGGGTTCCATCCCGACCCTGACGCCTGCTGCTGCTGTATATTTGGAGTTTGCGTGTCTCTCTCTCTGTGGTGAGATGTTAACTACCTCGCCTGGTATACAGGAGGTCGTGGGTTCCATCCCGACCCTGACGCCTGCTGCTGCTGCTGCTGTATATTTGGAGTTTGCGTGTCTTTCTCTCTCCGTGGTGAGATGTTAACTACCTCGCCTGGTATACAGGAGGTCGTGGGTTCCATCCCGACCCTGACGATGCCTGCTGTATATTTGGAGTTTGCGTGTCTCTCTCTCTGTGGTGAGATGTTAACTACCTCGCCTGGTCTACAGGAGGTCGTGGGTTCGATCCCGACCCTGACGCCTGCTGCTGCTGTATATTTGGAGTTTGCGTGTCTCTCTCTCTGTGGTGAGATGTTAACTACCTCGCCTGGTCTACAGGAGGTCGTGGGTTCGATCCCGACCCTGATGATGCCTGCTGTATATTTGGAGTTTGCGTGTCTCTCTCTCTCCGTGGTGAGATGTTAACTACCTCGCCTGGTCTACAGGAGGTCGTGGGTTCCATCCCGACCCTGACGATGCCTGCTGCTGTATATTTTTAGTTTGCGTGTCTCTCTCAGTGGGAGGCCTTACCTGGCAAAATAAAAAGTGTAGTTTTTTTACACAGACACGAGTGTGGAACTCGATGTAGCGGTGGCGCAGTGGTTAGCGGACCGCGCAAGGAACCCAGTGGCCTGAGTTCGATTCCGGGTCACGGCTGACGACATCAGTAATAACTCCAGCGGTCCCGAGTAACCACCCCGACCCACTACGCTGACTCTGGGTCTCTGTGTGAGCCTACGGATCTCTGTGTGAGTCTGCGGGTCTCTGTGTGTGAGTCTATGGGTCTCTGTGCAAGTCTATGGGTGTCTGCGTGAGTCTGTGGGCCTCTTTATGAGTCTATGGGCCTCTGTGTGAGTCTATGGGTTTCTGTATGAATCAATGGGTCTCTGTGTGAGTCTGTGGGTCTCTGTGTGAGTCTATAGGTCTCTGTGCAAGTCTGTGGTCGATCATCCATCCAATCGTTGGTGCAATTGCGTGATCTGTGAATTGCTATGGGATGGGGAGTGGAGGAGGGGGGGGATGGTGGGGGGGGGCGTGGGAATCTGTAGAAATCTGCCACCAGGCCACGTGACCGAGCCGGTCTGCAGACGAGAATTCACAGACCACGCTTGATGGAACCCAGACAATGGTCGAGTGAAGGTGGTGGGTGGGTGGGTGGGGGGCTGTGTGGGGGAGGGGCCGGGGGGAGGGGCGGGGGGTCGACGGGGGGAGGGGGTGGGGGGTCTTGTCTTCCAAAGAGACTGAGCTCTCAGTGTGTCAACAAGGCCTTATTTACCTGCTTACAATCGTAGGAGGTTCACGGGTCAGCTAACCTGGCTGGCGCATCATTCGAAACCACAATGCTCGCACGATGGAATGGGATGGCCGCGTGAATGAATGAGCGAGCGAAGGGATTAATTTTATTAATGAAACATTTTTTTTGGTATAATTCCTCGTTAAACCCTTCGTTCAGACAACAGTTCCCAGCGGCTGTGAATGAATGGGCGAGTGGATGAATGCAATTCGCTCCGGGGAGAATTGAGGTTCGAACGGACCACGGAAGGAGCGAAACGCACGAACGAGGAGTTGGCGGTGCACGGAGGGATCGAGAGGGGAGTGGGGGAATGAATGAAGGAACGAATGAGAGAGGGAACGAATGAGCGGTGATTAATAAACTGAATGCGCGTCTATTAACGGGTACATTTGTAGATTTGTATTAATTTTATATATTTTAAAAATGTACTATAATTTTGAAGGGAATGGAAAGCAGACCCCAGACCCAGGGTTTGGTGAAATTCACAGATTCAGCGAATGGGGGGCAGGGGGGGGGGGTGCAGGGGGAGGGGTAGTGAAGGGGGGAGGGGGGGAGGGGTAGTGAAGGGGGGGGGTTCAGGGGGGTCAGGGGGGAGGGGTAGTGAAGGGGGTTCAGGGGGGGAGGGGTAGTGAAGGGGGTTCAGGGGGGAGGGGTAGTGAAGGGGGTTCAGGGGGGAGGGGTAGTGAAGGGGGGTCAGGGGGGAGGGGTAGTGAAGGTGGGTCAGGGGAGAGGGGTAGTGAAGGGGGTTCAGGGGGGGAGGGGTAGTGAAGGGGGGGTTCAGGGGGGTCAGGGTGGAGGGGTAGTGAAGGGGGTTCAGGGGGGGAGGGGTAGTGAAGGGGGTTCAGGGGGGGAGGGGTAGTGAAGGGGGTTCAGGGGGGGAGGGGTAGTGAAGGTGGGTCAGGGGGGAGGGGTAGTGAAGGGGGGTCAGGGGGGGAGGGGTAGTGAAGGGGGGGTCAGGGGGGGAGGGGTAGTGAAGGGGGGTCAGGGGGGAGGGGTAGTGAAGGGGGGTCAGGGGGGGATGGGTAGTGAAGGGGGGGTCAGGGGGGAGGGGTAGTGAAGGGGGGTCAGGGGGGAGGGGTAGTGAAGGGGGGGTCAGGGGGGAGGGGTAGTGAAGGGGGTCAGGGGGGGAGGAGTAGTGGGGGGGGGGCAGGGGGGGCAGGAGGGGCGGGGGAGATGAAGCTGAATGCGATGACGTCATCTGCTCTGAGCTCCGAAATCTTGCAAACACACTCACACACACAAGCACGTGCACGCGTGTGCATGCATGTAGCACGCGTGTGCACAAGTATTCATATGCACGCATGTACATGCATACGTGCATACGTTCGCGTGTCGTATATATGCACGCAATTATGTTTGCGTGTTCCAAATATCCACATATATAGGCACGCACGTACTGTGCTGTAGATGGGATTCCATGCGTGGGGAGCGGTGGTGCAGCGGTTAGCGCGCTGCGGTGTGAACTCACCATTATCCCGAATTCGATTCCCGGCTCACGACCACCACCAACACCAAGTGGCGATTATCTGAACCGGTCCTGGGCCTCAAATGTGTACCCGGTGCGGTGTGTAGTAAACATCGCCACTGGGGAGACAAAGGCGGTCGGGCGTGGTGCTGGCCACCCACCCCCTCGTGTGCCGTGGCGGCTTTCATTGGTGCTAGTCGCTAAGAGCACTTGCCCGAAAATTATGCGGAGGCTATACGGGGGATCTTTGTCTTTGTCGTCTTAATACATACCAAGGCATGCGCACGTGACCACGCGCGAGCTGAAAGCGTTCCCCTACGATCAGCTCCATCATCATAATCAAAATCTCCGTGCCTTGCTCACCATCATCATCATTGATCGTCATCGTCCAATGCCCCTATCTAGTTTAACACGTACTTTCGCGACCAATATCATCCATGATAGAGGTTTGTTGTGGGGTTAGATCGCGTAAATGTATAAATGTGTCGTAAAACCCCGCCACCACCCGACAAAGCCAACTAGTAAGGGTTCGTGTCACGTAAACAGAACGTGGCCAATTCGTCACTAGTACAGCACTAGTGTGTAGTGTATAGCAGTGTATAGTGTAGTGTATAGTAGTGTATAGTGTAGTGTATAGTAGTTTATAGTGTAGTGTATAGTAGTATAGTGGAGTGTATAGTAGTATAGTGGAGTGGATAG